GGTTAGAATGTATTAATCTGCATTACTTTTAGATTTACATGTATGGTCCGGTGCAAAAAGATTGGTACACTAATATAAAATTAATAATTGCTTCTAATAAAAATCATTCAGATTTTAACTAATCTTTATAATTTTTTATATTAAATAAAAAATGATCTAAATTATTCTATTATGCTTTAATTTCATAATAAATAAAGCATTACTAAAAAAACTAAAAATAAAATTATTTAAAGATATTAAGATTCAAAGTTTAGTAATTAAATTATTTACTATATAATTTTTATATTAATTTTAATCAAATGTAAAATTTAAGAAATAATAATTCAAAAAAAGTTTTATTATTATTAAATAAATCCCAATACCTAATAACTTAATTAAATAAGACAGATTAAAATTTTATTTTGAATCTTTTTGCACCGGACCAAATTAAATATTATAAATTTACAGAGTACAGTATACAATATACAGGTATTACAACACCACGTGAGTGGCGTAAATTATAGTTTAACACGCAAAAGTATCCGAATATACATAACTTCTACCACATATAACTAAAAATATTCTTTTATTTTTCTTCTACATAACTCCATAACCCCCAACACTAAGCACGCTTTTGTTCTCGATCGAAATCTCTTTTTTACGCACACTTTATTTTCATCCTACGCACGCACTGCTACTATTAACTTTCTATACGAGGCTTCATCGTAGTTGTTTGTTTTTTCTTTGCTCAACGCTTCAGCCCCCGTACACGCCTACACACATTTTTTCATTTTTGACGACGTTTTGTCTGCTGATATATGATATTAGTCTATTCAAACAAACGAAAACACACCTTACATATATATATACGCCTGGCTGGTCAAAATTTTTCTTTTAACTCTTAATGGGCCGTCGCGGTTCGACACCTGACTTCATGTCAAAGCCTTACTGCAACACTCTACTACTACCACTATTTGTCGGGTTATTAGATTATTGTTGAAATTTGATTCGGTCAAATACTCTCTTTTCAAACTAAATACATTCTTTCTCAAGACTTTTATTCTCTATTAAATTTTTTTTTGTAAATAATAGTTTTAATTATAATAGTAACGATAATAGCAATTCCAAATAATAGTAATATAGTATAATAAATAATAACAATAATAATTAATTTATTTATTTATTTATAAATATGTTTGCTTTATTACAAGAGAAATTGGTAAGTGCGAATTTATCGGGGGATGATAAAATCTTTTATAGACTGGGATCTCTGGGGTTGCTCTATATATATATATAGGGAGCGATACTTTACCTGAATGATGCTTCTCATTTTTCACATTTACTAAAAAAAATTAATTTATTTCAGTTCGGGCAATCGCGTCACGCAAAATGGGCACTATTTTCATCATTTGCACAAGCAATAATAATCGGTGCACTCGAAGCAGTAGTGTACACAATGCACAAAAAAGAGGTGGCATATATTCGTACGGGCACAGATCAACTAAATAAAACAAATGATATAGAATACAAGACGGTTTTAGCGAATGCAGAAAGTATATCAGTGTATCATATATTATTCATGGCCAGTCAAGTCTTTCAATTGGTGTTGTGTGTCGATGCTGTGCGTATTTTATTTTTTTATCGTTATAGTTTGCGAGTTATTATAAGATTGATAATCGATTACAAATGATTTTTTTCTGGTAGTTGTATCATGAGAATACAATTCAACTGATAGCACTGACATTATTTACTTTTGGCACATTGTCATATTCTGTCATTCAAAGTAAGTCATTGTTGATTATCATGTTTGTTTGTATCATCTATTGATTTACTAATCATTATGATCAATCCAGCCGTACAGTCAGCCACATTAATCGATCCAACCACAATTGTTGGTGGAAATCTGACACAGATAGTCCCCGCATTAGAGAAACCACCAGCAATACCATTCGAGATAACCATCATTGTCTTGATGGTTATCTTCTCTTTTGTTTTCGCCTATTTGGCGTATAAATTATATCAGGAATTTGGGTGGAGTATATATAAACGAATTGGGGCAGATTTGTCCATGAGAGGTATTTAACGGATATAGTAATAATATGATTGTTGTTATGTTTACGAGAGATACTAATGATCGATCGATCTATTTATTTTATAAAGATCGATATAAAATGTATCAAAGTAAGAAAGAGAATTTTTTAGTCATTATGCTTTTCATAATAATTTGAATATTGATACTGACGAACTACATTTATTTATATATGGTTTTTTCAGTATTTATTATGCTTTTGAAATTTGATATATTCTTTTTTGTTGGATTTACCGTTCAATTCTTGGTTCTTTTAATAAATCGAGGAAACGCACTGGACTCAGTAATTGAGCATATAGTACTATCGACAGTAGCATCGACCGCTATGCTTATTGTGGCATTTTGGGGGGTAACTAGAGATGTTTGCTATATCTTTATACGCGCGCTTTTTTTCTAACAAACTAATTTTATTCTTACAATTAAAAATAGGTGCAAACAGAACGTAAATTTTTAATGTATGCATTTATGGTAGGATGTCTCGGCACTGAAGGATACATTATATCAAAGCTTGTCGACGTTGCGCAATATCCCGAAAAATATATAGGAACCAGAATTTTTGTGACATTTTTCCGTGAGTATTATATTTTCTACTATAAGATTTTTTTGCAACATTATATATATTTACGATCTTTATTATTTTTATACGACATCATAGTTTGTTGTGTTTTAATACTTGGAGTGGTAAGTTTTTATTTTTTTTTTCTTTCTTTTAATAGAATACTTTCATATAACAATTTACTGACCTTTTTTTTCACCATATATTCATAGGCTACTTTCATAATATCATTTGCATGTCTCAGGAATTTCAATAAAGGGCTAAAATTCCATTTGACACGACGAAACGTCAATTTTGATAGTACCGATGACGTATCAGCACCACCAGGTTATAATCTTGATAATGTACGAAACACAAAACAAAGATGGTCTATTGATTGATTGATTGATCAAAAATCATAATAACAACAACAACAACAACAACAACAACAACAACAACAACAACAACAACAACAACAACAACAACAAAAACAAACAAATAAAACAACAACTACAATAACAATAATAAGCTTAGTATAAAATATTAAAATATATCAACAAGAATAATACTAATTTTAGCAGCACAATAATAGTTCATCTCTCTCTCTCTCTCTCTCTCTCTCTCTATCATTATTTATTACTACACATCATGAGTTGACTATGATCATAATTCATCTCTAAAAGATCATGCACGTGTAACGTCACAGTAGATGGCTTTATTATGCGTGATATAAATTTAAAGCGCACACTTAATGTGTGAGAGGTGAATGAAGAGAATGATGATTATGATAAGTAACAGAAGATGGTCGTGCGTGAGGTCATAGTTTATTGGTGCGTTGTTGGCTATGCGGGTATTGCTTTTGATATATAAACATTTCATTCCTTTTTATCTTTTACTTGAATCCCCTTCATTATATATCTATTAATCGCGAAATAACTTTTATGTGGTGTTTTACGATGGTGATGGCACATCATATATTTCTTTCATATATCATCTTTTATCTTTTCCCTTTGAACATATCTCTATCGTTAATCCCCTCAATATCTCTTGTTACCCATTATATTATACCCAGGTGAAAAAACTTCTTTTCCCTGTCTATCTTTGATTTATTAGTATTATGCGTATTGACATCATGTTCTTCAAAGTTATGTCATCGATCCGGGAAATAAAGTCATGGAACAAATCCCGTCTTGTGTAAGGATCTGATACAAAGATAATAATGGGCGCGGGATAATCATCTTATTCCTTAAAATGAGTACATTTAATTGTCTTGTCATAACAATAATATTGAGATTGCCCACTTACCATTACCATCACCATCATCATCACCATCACACTTTTAACTTTCGAACACCAAAACCTTCGACTAATAAACATTTTTTTTTTAATTTAATTTCTAATAAGTAATATATAATCGATGTATTTTTTAATATACCTTTAATTAGTAATCTGTACTTTTTAGCATATACAAAGAATTCATAATAATAATCAGAAAAGACAGTGTATTATATAAAATATGAAATATACTGTATCAAAATCAGATAAAATAAAAATCATACTTTTGAAAATTTTCGAGATATAATTAATTTTAAGTCAAAAATAATACATTAGAAGATCAAATTTATTAATAAAATTAAAAGTTTTTCTTTATATTAAACTTTATAATTTTATTAATAAATCTTTTTTATTTTTATAAAGTTTTATAATCTATAATTTAACATATATTTTTTTCAGATTTTTTAGATTTTTTCTAAAAAAATAAAATTTAATTAGTAAAAATTTTTATAATAACTTTATAATTAAAATAATTCTTTCAGAAAAAAATCTAAAAAATCTGAAAAAATATATATTAAACTATAAATTATGAATTTTAAAATAAAATTATTTATTAATAAAATTATAAAGTTTAATATAAAGAAAAAATTGCAATTTCTATTATATTTATTGATAGATTTGATCTTTAATATATTATCTTTAATTATTATCATATAATATAATTATTTTCTTGAAAAAGAATTTTATTTAATAATTAAAAAAGAATTATAATTAATAAATATAATATTATTATATTAAATTCTTATAAAAAAATAAAAATTAATTTTTTTTATTAAAATTTGATAATATTTATATAATTTTTTTCAAATTAATAAAATAAAATATTAGATTTTTTTTAATTTTATTACTAAATATTTTTCTTTTTTATATGAAAATTATAACAAAAGTGAACATTTAACCACGTGAACTGAAAATGGCTAATGACATTTGCTTTTGTGGCACAGCTGTGGCTCAGACATAAATTCATACTTAATATAGACGTCACCAAAACCCAGTCACGTGCACACCGATTCCATACAACGATGGCCATTCCAACATCGCAATTTTTGTTGCTGTGAATTTTCGATTGTGTTGTTTGTATATAAAGTTTCTAATTCGTAAACTTGTCTAGGATATGCCTACTTTCGACTACGTGGATACGTGCCCCCGGACGATCCTTTGACCAAAGTTATTTATTTCTTGGCTATGATCGTAAATTATATTTATGTTCACGTGGCCGTAAGTTGTAGAGAGGGGAGGGGTGAACGGGATGCGACGGGGGCGCAGCATTGGTAAAACATCATGAAGGATGCGGCACACGGTCAAGAACAAAATAGCAATAATGAAAGTAGCAAAAAGGTGAGTTAGAAGAGTGAAGAAACGAATAAAAGCAAGGAAAGAAGCATATTTTTCGGAAGTTGAAAATAGCAGCACAGACCACTCTATGGATGCAGGGAACGGATGGTGCGATTGTTTTACTTACGCAATTGACAAACAGTCTTATGTAGTATCACTAATTTGATTAATTTGTACCGCACTTTGTTAACTAAGAGCGTTGCTGGACGTTTTCCTAACAGCTTCAGACGAAATATGGATGAGACGCGCAAGTATGGCATAAAACCTACCTTCTTAGAAAGCTGCCGCTCTCCTACAGATTGTGAGATGGTGTCACTAGGATTAAGGGATTTCATCATGATTTTTTCATTTCATCGATTGAATACACGTCATTCTGACGGTCAGTGTGGAATCATACCATAGCCTATGGGTTGAGTTGATTGAGGCCCCCGAAAAAGCTACTCATGATGATTTCCATGCGAAAAGAGTATGAGTACAGAGCGTCCATTAAACATTATTGTGAATAATGCCGTGGGCTGCTCACGTCAATTTTCACTTTGTCTGATTTTGTCCTATTTTGTCCTATATAAAATCTGTAATAAAAAATTCATATTTTGATGCAGTATTGAATATCTTATGCCATTTTCCATTATATATAAAAATTTATAAGTTATAATTTAATATATTTTTTTTCTGAAAGAATTATTCTAATTATAATATAATTAAGACAACTCTTTAGAAAAATCTAATACACTTTATTTTAATATGAAAAAAAATTATTTCTTAATGAAATTATAAATTATAATATAAAGAAATTCACAAATTTTTATTTAATTTTATAATATTATTAGGTATTATAATAACAAATTATATATTTATATAATTTATAATATAATTTAAAAGAAATTAAATAAATTTAAATTGATTTTATTTTAATATAATTTAAAAGAAATTAAATAAATTTAAATTGATTTTATTATTAATATATTATATGAACTTTTATATTATGAGAAAATAAATTATTATAATTTATTAAAAAATATTTCTCTTTCTTATTTGAAATTTTTATATATAATTTTATAATATTATAATTTATTAAAAATTGAAATTTTGTATAATATAATATCATATATATTTGTATTTTAATATAAATTATAATAATAATAATAATAATAATAATAATAATAATAATAATAATAATAATAATAATAATAATAATAATATATATATATAAATATATTAAATATATTAAGTTATAAGTTTAAATATTAGTTAAATAATTAAAATAAGCATAATTTAATTATAATAAATTGAATTAAATAAAAAAATAAGATAAATTACAATATAAAAATAATTTATTATAATTAAATAGAATATAAGAAAAATAATATTTATATAATGAGAATTTTATTTTTAAAATAAAATAATAATTATTATAATCTTGAATTTAAAATAATTAATAATAATTATTAATATTTTTTAAAAAGTTATATAAAAAATTATAATAATATTTATAGAATATTATAATATAATATTATTTAATTATTATATTATATAATAAATAATTAATAAAAATTAAGCAAATTATTTTTTTTTCAAAAATAATTTTTTAAATTATTAGATTTATAATTAATTTTTTTTAAATTAAATATTAAATTTAATTATATATTATTTAATTATTATTTTAAATACTTAAATAAAATTATACTTAAATATTTTAATTTAATTTATATTTATTTATAATTTAATAATTATTAATTATTATTTATTTACTTTTTTTTATAATAAATTATATTTTTAATAATTGTTTATATTATTTTATTATTTAATAAATTTTTATAATCCATTTATATATAAAAAATATAATTTTAATTTTAATATATATTTTAAATTTATTTTAATATTAATTTTTATTTTGTTTATTTATATTTAAAATAATAATAAGAAAATTTAATAATTTTATTTTATAATATTTATTATATTATTATTTAAATATATTTAAAAACTTATTATATAATATTTTATAAATTTTATTTAAAAAGTTTTATATAAAAAATATTATTTTAAAAATTATAATAAATATTAACTTTTTTAAATTATTATTTATTTATTAATATAAAATTTTGAACTTTTATTTAAGAAATTTCAAGTTAATAAAAAAATTAATTTAATAATAAAAAAATTATAATTATAAAAAAATTATAATAAATATAAATTTATTTAAATTATTATTATTTATTTATTAATTTAAAAATTTTAAATCTTTATTTAGAATTAAAAAATAATTATTAAAAATAAATAATTAATTAAAAAAATATATAGTGATAATTAAAAGTAATAAGAACTATATTTTATTAATAAAATATAATAAAAATTAAAATTTTCTTTCTATATTAAAATTTATAATTTTATTAAGAAATAACTTTTATTTTTATATCAAAATAAACTTTTTATTAGTTATAATTTAATATATAATTTTTTAGATTTTTTCTAAAAGAATTATTCTAATTATAAAAAATTTTTACTAATTAAAAATAAAATTTAATTAATAAAAATTTTTATATTTAATTTACAATTAGAATAATTCTTTTAGAAAAAATCTAAAAAATTATATATTAAATTATAATTAATAAACTTTATTTTAATATAAAAATAAAAGTTATTTCTTAATAAAATTATAAATTTTAATATAAAGAGAAAATTTTAATTTTTATTATATTTTATTAATAAATTTAG